CAAACAGCTGAAGCACTCTTGGCCTTGGTGCAGCAGTAGGGCCCGTAGGTGTAGGGGGTTTGTAGGGCCTCTTAGGGCATTTAGGGTGGGGGGCCCGGGGCTGCTGCGAAGTCAAGGGGAGGCTCTAGGGACTCTGAAATTGACTCCAGCTCAGGTACAAGCCATGATCGACATGATGATTGGCCCTGCCGCCGGCTTGCAAGAGTTTCCACAAGAACCTCAACACAGCAACTTAAAACCCGAAATCCGCAATCCCAAGCCCTGTAGACCCGCATATAGCCACGAGACGCTCTTGGCTTTAGGCTGCCTGCATTCCGGGGGCCAACTACGCCACGAGCAAGATCACGGAAGTGGCGCAGGGCGCGGTCGGCTTGGTGAAGGACCCGGCCCGGCTGCTTTCAGGGCTTTTTCGGGGTTTTTGGTTGTTTAGGGTTTGAGGGTCTTAGGGGTCTTAGGGTCTTTAGGGGCTTAGGGTGTAGGGTTTTAGGGGCTTTGGGGTTAGGGGCTTCGGGTCTTAGTCCTGGGCTTAGGACTTAGGATGCCGAGCTTGGCTTCAGGGACATAGGGTTGGAGGGCTGCGATGTTGGCGCAAGTTTTGTTTATGTGCTGTGGCTTGGTGGTTTGGGTTTAGTGCGCCCAGATTCTGACTCAACATCCCGCTCCGAACCACGCAGCCCCAAAGCTCGGCAGACTGCAGGGCCTGATTCCTGACCTTAGCCTCGACTTCTCGACGCCTTCCATGGTGCTGCTCGCGCCGAAGAAGCTCAGCAGCCTTCGGCTTCTTTGGGGGGGCTGAAGGCCCAGAAAACTGAAACCCCTCCAAGCCCTATAAGCCCCCTGAACCCTCAAAAAACATTAAACTAAACCCTAAACCCCAAACCCGAAACCCTAAACTCCTTAAGCCCCTAAACTTCCTAAAGCCTCTAGGCTTGACCCAAAACCACAAAGCACCTGAAACCTTAAGCCCGAAGAACTGAGCGCCCACCCCGAAAGCCTTGAAGCCCACCGGTGCCCCTGATTTAGAGTTTTAGGGTCTTAGGGTTTTCGAGTGTTGGGGTTTTAGGGCTTTCAGGGCTTTTAGGGTGTTAGGGTTTAGGGTTCCTGAATTCTTCACTCCTATGGCCCTTCGATGCGTTTACAACCCTTGAGCCCTAAACGTTAGACCTGAAACCCTAAACCCAAAGTCCTAAAGTCGAAGCCCGAAGCTAAACCTTCAACCCCGGCATCGCAACGAAGTGTCGGAACCCCGGGATAAGGAAGCTCTTCTGCGTCGAGGCCGCCGTTGCAGGGAGGGAGGGGATGACATACCGGGGTTTATCAGGGGTTGGGGTTCGGGCTTTCAGTTTAGAGTTTGATCAGTTGATTGGAGTTTGGTGTTTAATTGGGGTGGGTTTTTAGGGTTTGGGTTTCTTGGGCTCATGCCATGGGTGTTTGTTGGAATCCCAGAAACTCCAACTGTCCTCCACATGAGGATCCCGTTTTTACGATGCTTGCTTAGATTTGAGGACCATTCCTGGATTTGAGGGTGTGGATTCTGTGAAGATTTGGGGTTTTGGTATTTGCTAGCTAGGTTATAAGTGCTCAGGGTCCTTTCTACTGTGCACAAAACACCAACGCAGGAGTCGCACATGAACCTCCAGGTAGGGTTGAGGGTTTGCGCTCGAGATTCTTTCACCTAGTCTGACTCGACATATTCATGCCGTGGCACGGAGGTACTGAGTGTCTGAAGGAGGTGAAAGGCATGAATCACATGAGAGGAAGGCATGAAGATCTTGAAATGATTACCATGAGCGACATGTGTGAGCTGGGGACGGAAGAGCGCGATAACATCAATGATTTTGTGCTTGCAGGCATACTGCTTTAGCCTGGGTACATGCATGTACTCATGACTGCACGCCTGCGTGTGCTTCTTCTTCTTCATCATCATCTTCTTTTGTTTCGTTTGTTCTTCGTCCGGTTGCGTTTTCCGTAGTGAAGCCTCAGTGGGCAGCTAAGGGCAGCCTTCAACCCCGTCCCACCCGAACAAGCCTTCCCAAGCCCTAATGTCTGGTTTTAAGCCACTCAAGCCTTCTCCTTTGCTCGAGGTCGCCAAGACCCCTGGCTTTGATACAGCACCTTGCAATGCTGAGCTCGGCTGCAGCCACGCAGGCCAGAGTTGGGTGTCGGTGGCCTCTGCTTAAACATGCCTTTCGCAGTGGAGTTGTAGCTCGCGGACCTCGCCCAAAAACGTCCCAAGCCACTTTCGTCCAGTGCTGGGAGGTCGTGGCACGCCGCAGCTCGCACAGAAGGACGTGGAGATGGAGGCCGGGGAGGATGCAGAGAGATCAAGTCGTCAAGCTTGTGAGCTCTTGCCGAAACGGCTGAGGGTGCGAAATTCAGGGGGCTTCACTTCTGGACTCTGCAGCCCTCGGCCACTTTGTGGTCAGCGGCTAGACAGACCATAGCCACAATTCTTTGCCAGGTCTGCTTCGACTGCCGAGTTGTTCGGCACAAATATCGGCCGTAGCTAAGGCATACCGAAGGAAAACGTCTTATGTAATGCAGAGGTAGGCCCGGGTACAGGGAATATCTTTTAAGTCAGCAGTTGTGGCCCCATCATGACCGTGGCCGCAACGCACGACTGCTTATTCAAGCGAAGATCCAACTTTCCGACAAGGGATTGTGTTAAACCCCAAACTCCCTAAGCCCTAAACCCCAAAAACCCTAAAGCCCTAAACCCTCACCTAAACTCCCTAAGCCCTATAAACCGTGCAGGGTTTCCCCTTTTGCCAGGCAGAGCCCGCAGAACTGCTGCAGCTTGCTGGGGATGCTGCCCCCACGAGGACCTGCACCCGGGCTGAAGGCAGAAGAAGGCTTTTTTTTGCGGTTTAGGGTCTCGGGGTTTACGGGCTTAAGGCTTCAGAGCTCCCCCGCATATTTTTGAAAAGGGCTCGTTTTTGCCGGTGCTTCTGGTCTTTGGGGGACGACATGTCGAGAGAAGCTTCGGCGCGGTTCGACCCTCAGGGTGCAGATTTCGGGCGGTTATGGGATCGGGATCCGTGTATCCATGTGGGGCGCCTCAAATTTTCCGGCTTCGAAGATGTCTAAGCCACTCGGAAAGACTCGCCCAGGCAGCGTGTTCAAGAAGTGGCGCATGCGCTGGCTGGGCAGTCACGCGGAAGCTCGATGCTCTTGAGCATTGCTTTTGCCTTTTGCATGTCTCTTCTGCCAACCTCAGCCCCAAATCCTAGTGCTGCGGCTGAGTCTTTGGGACGATAACCCTACAACCCAAACCCTGAACCCTAGAGCCCGAACCCAACGATCCTAGTGCCCCGAGCCACAAAAAACCTTAGGCCAGTCCTAGGCCCTATAAAAACCACAACAAGCCCCCCACACCCCTTGTTCCTGCCAGGAGATGCCCTTGGGCTCCACACCGTACGGAGCCAATGTAGGCACCTGGGAGGCCTGCTCCTAGGCTTCCGAGAGCCGATTTTTTTTTGTATCCGCGGTCTTCAAAGACAGAAACTCGCGGGCACACACAAACATACACACGTTTACAAGAACTCATGCATGTCTGAGTGGATGGATGGATGGGTGGATGGATGGACGGACGATGGGATGGATGAACGAAATCTGCGCAGGCCCGCGCACACGGTGTCGCCTCAGCAAACCCCGTTCGACTTCCGCGACATCCCAGGTTTGGGTCTTTGCCAGACGACAGAGGGCTGCCGACAGGCGGGCTGGCTGGTTGGAGGTCCAGGCTTCAGGCGGTTTTGGTTCGCGTTCTTCTGGCGTTTGGGTGTGAAGGTCAGGGTCAGCCATGCAGAGGCCTTGACCTTTTAGACTTTCGACTTAGCTCAGGTGGTCTACGCCGCAGGGCACTGCTACGGCATGAGCGTGGCGTCCAACGAAGACCAGGACAAGCTTCGAGATCGCACCACCCAGCACCAGAAGACTTATGCCACATCTCAGGGCCCTAAACCCTGAACCCTAAACCTAAACCCCCAAACCTTAAACCACGAACCCCTAAACCCTAAACCCTAAACCCATAAACCCTAAACCCCAAAATCTCGAGCCCAGAGCGCAGGACGGCTTAGGCGGCCACAACGACCTCTTCACCTCCGCCCACTGCATCGGTGCCCAGCGACACTGCGACATCTTCCTGACGCTTACATTCTGTTGAACCCCAAGAGAAACCGTAAACCCTAAACATTAAACCCGTAAGCCCTCAACCCGAAATGTCCCAAGCCCAAACTAACACCCTTGGGACCGAAAGCCAGAGAGCTTTTGAGTGTGGAAGGTCAGCCCTTTGCAGTACACGTTTAGGGGGCCTGTAGAACTCCGCACCGAGGTGCTTGTAGTTTTCGGGTTTATGCCAGGGTTTTGAGACAATGCAAGACAGCCTCAGATGGCAAAGCACAGAGAATAATCCGTCCTACAACAAAACTAGGGTACCCTGACAAAGGGGTAGGCTATAAAGCCGCCATTCATGGTCCCGCATCCTGGCATCGTCACTCCATGCTTCCTGCATCTTCGGTTCCATGCACAGGGGGTGGGTGGAAGGGTCCTCTGAACCCTCAGCCGATGGATGGGGCCCCTTCAAACCTCCAAACTAAAAGCCCTTCTGGAGCTCTCGCCTTGTTCGTTTTAACACAAAGGCCCCTGGAATGTGAGCCTGAAAGACCGCCCAGGAACTGGCGCATGGTCATGGTCCCGGGCTCCGGCATCAGTGTCCTGGCGTTGTTGCTTTTCGTGTGGTATGGGGGTTTCGGATGATGCTTGGGGCCTAGGGGTTGCAGGGGTTTAGGGCTCAGGTTCTTGGTGGCTTTTGCTTGCTGCTGGTAGGACTGGTTCGAACCCTGGGCAGCAATCAAACAGCGCAGCAAGGATTGCAAGCTCCGCAATCGCAAGCGGCTTTGCCCAAACACGCCTCAACCGAAAGCTTTCAGACTTGTCTCAGCCACTCGAGGCAATCCTAAAAATGCCATCTACAACCGCCGAGTGTGCTTCACTGTCGCCAGGCCTGGGCAGCCTCCCCTACGGAGAGTTCAGCGGCGGCTGGTTCCGCTGCCTGGAGCTCTGCAAGGAGACGCCAAGCTGCGAGCAGGCCTTGAGGACCTCTCGGGTTTAGGGTTTAGGGGTTTGGGTTTAGGGTGTAGGGTCTCGGTGTTGGCTAAAAAAAGGAGGCCTGAATAATTAGAATAGGGTTTTTGGGGGTATCTTGTACTATAGTTACTATACGGAACCCCGAAAACCCTATTCTAATTGCTAAGGCCCCTACATTACTTACCCGTTCTACTGTTGAGATCTGCTTTGATCTGGCATTCACGCTTGTCAGGGGTCTGTGGGGACACACAAGGAACTCGACAAGTGGGGCGAGAACGAGGGTCACTGCAAGCGTCACTGGATATAGAACCCGGCCCTAAACCCTAAACCCTAAAATAGGACGGCCCATGCATTCGGCCCCGAAACCTCGGAAGGTCCAATCGAGAGGTGGGGGGTTTAGGAGTTTGGGTTTCGGGATCTTTCGGGTTTGAACCCTTCAGCCCCGAGCCCTACACCAGAGACCCCAAATATCCGAGTCTGAAGAGTTACCAGTTCGCTGATCACTCGGGTTACTTCGCAAATTTTTACCCTACTGTTCCCTTGTAAAAATCACTAAGGCCACTAAGTCCCCTTGTATGAAATCCTTATACGACCCTGGACCTTAAGCCCCAAATTTCCTAAGCCCCAGAAGACACTAAACCCTTACCAGAACTATACCAGATCATCGGCAGGTCACCTACACCGCGGAGGGGCGGTGCTTCGGCATGAGCGCTCGCACCCACGAGGCCCGGGGTGCTTTTATGTTTTCGGGCTTAGGGTTTAGGCTTTTGGCTTAAGGGGCGCGGCGGTCAGGCTGTTGGTTTCCCACCTTGAATTCATACAAGAGTCCGGGACAAGTCGCCGCCGCAAGGTTTGATCTGCTTCTGAAGCCGTATCTAATGCTGTACAGAGATTAACCTGCTTTTCTGATCACCAGCAAAGTGGGCTTTGAAGACCCTCAGAACAACTTAAACCCTTCGACCCCTAAAACCAGTGACTCTCGCAGTAACCCTGACAATGATCCTTAAATCCCTACCAGCCCCTACCCATATAGAGCCCTTATTGTACCCTTATAGAAGCCTTAGAGAAACCCTTATAGATCCCTTTAAGGAGTTACACCTTATAGAAGCCTTCTAGAAACCCCTTATAGATCCCTTAAACCCTAAACCCTAAGCCCCTAAGCCCTAAACCCTAAACCCTAAGACCCCCTTATAGGCTTACTTTAAGGAGTGTTTCAGCGCTGGTCTCAGGATGCCAATGGCCTCGGCGGGAGCAACGGTGGCTTCACCACCGCCCACTGCTACGGTGAGGCCGGCCCTTAGGGTTTAGGGTTTAGGGTTTAGGTTTTAGGGTTTAGGGCTTTAGGGTTTAGGGCCTCTCAAGCGTCTTGCTGGGCACAGCAACAGCACCAACATCCTACACAACTCAGCACTTCTGAGGCACTTTGTAACCCAAAACCCGAAACCCTACACTCTCGGACGGCAAGTTAGAACCAAACAGCGCCAAAACCTCGTGCGACAGTCCCGCGCCGCGGAAATTCCGAGCGCGAAGTTAGAACCAGATTTGTCTTTTTTGCCCGGTAGCCAAGTTAGAACCTACCGCCCCGTACCACCCGGTATCCACGCACCACCCCGCGTGCTTAAACAGCTGGGTCATGGGTTTTGGAGGTTTTTTGCAAGACTTGTTCATTAATTCACAGCGTACCGCATCAACCGCCCGTACCGCTGCGGTAAAGCCCCGGTACTGTGCTCCCCGTGCCGCACACATCGCCCCACACCGGCGGTAAACCGATTCAGGGCTCCTCTGTGCCCCCGTGAGGTGAGCGGTCCGGCAGTGGTGATGCAGAACCCGGGCTGCCCCAATGTGCGCCTTGCTTGGACAGGCTTGGGGCTTGTTTATGGGGCTGTATGTCAGAGGTTCGGGGCTGTCGGGGCCTCCGGTTCGGGTTTGGGGCTGGTTCGGGATGTAATTAAGGTCTATGGCCTATGGGGCTTGAGAGTGCCTCACAGAGATCAAATTAAACTGGCTCACGAAGAAGACCTCCTAGGTGAGGCGCCGAGCTGGACATCCCAACGTCCCAAGCTTCGATCCGCCCCCAAAATCCCCCCAAAACCCCCATCATCAAGCCCCTACAGGTTTACGAGTTTAGGGTTTAGGGTTCCGGGACTCTGACCCCAAACCCCGAAGGCCCCATAAAGCCGAGGTTTATGGGAGATCGGTTTTTGGACCTGGGCCCGTGGCGCCTGGCCGCCTGGGACGACAACCATCTCTCCATTGCCCACAAGACGGGTCAGGCGGGCTGTCGGCTTGTGAAGGTTACCTCCTTGTTCGTGACTATATCATGAGTACTATTCGCTGAAGGCTTTGGGCGGGGTTCAAGGTTCTTTTGGGGCCTTGGGGTTAGAATTTGGTCCTTCGAAATCAAAGAGTTTAGATTTAGGGCTTTGGGGTTAAGATGTTCTCCTGCAGGTGTCCGGTAGCGCGAAGCGACACGGCACCATGCGTCGGTCAGCTTTCCAGCGTGCTTAAGGTCCTGTCCTCAATTACAATTCAGAGGATTTAGGGCTCTGGGGTCTGAGATTTCGAAGGCTCACTGCTTCCGAGCCCTTGCGGGCTTGAGCCTGTTCAGGGCTTCAGGGCTAAGGCCTGTTTAGGGTCCGTTTGGGTCTGGTGCTTCAGGGACGGAGCCTCGTCCTCAGCCAGGCTGCCATCGTCTTTCGCAACGATGGGGCGGTGCCGCTTAGCTGCGAGCGGAATCCCAGGTCAGTCTCACGCCACGCGACGTCGGGCAAACTCCACAAGTGGGACTGCAGGCCGGGGTTTGAAGGAGGCTCCGTCGATTTCTGAAGCTGTACAGAACGACTGAACCACCTCGGCAAGATGTCTCGTTGGCCTACTAATGCAAGACCCAAACCCCTCCGTGTCGCTGGTCATTCCTCTGCTTAGATTTCGATCCGGGCAGGAAAAGCTCCTAAGCCTCGACCTGAAACGAAGTATCACGAGATCCGAGTACTAGAAAATGTTGAGAGCCATCTCGGCCCCCCCTTGGTTCCGGAAGTATTCCCAGAGTTGCTTCGCCCACAGGGCCGATGCAACAGGGAAGCTCACCTTGGAAGGTTGGAGCTTACCGCCCCGAAGCTCTGAACTCGACTGGCTCAGGCTCCACCAGCGGACGGATCTCTTGGCCTTCAACCGCCCCATCGCCCTGCCGAAAGGCAGGCACTGTCGACGACCACCCATTCATTTGCACCAACCCGGAACTCGTCGAAGACCCTAAAGCCTCTATCCCAAGCTCCAAGCTTTATGGTTTCAACACGGGCCCAGGCCCCGAAGCCCTCCAGGCATCAAGTTCGGCTTCCAGTTCATCCAGATCGGAGAGTTCCGGCTGGGCGCAGCAAACGACAACCACTTCTCCATCCAGCACTCCGGTGGAAACACCGTGCAGGTGGCGCCCCGGAAAGGGGACCGCGTTTGGGTAGAAATTGGCCACCTCCGAGGAAGTTGCGCTCCGCAGCCTCCAACTCGTAGCCCCCAACTAGCCTGTACAGCGACAACGCAAGCTCCAAGCCTTCGGCTCAGATGGCACCGTCTACCCGGGGCCCCTTGAGGACTTTGGGCCTCTCGCCTTTTTCGTCGAAGAAATCCTCGAGCTGCTTCCGGAGGTTTCCGGCCCAAGGATGCGTTGAGCTTGTTGTCGTTGCACATCCAGACACGCACTTTTTACACCCCTTTGAAGCCCAAAACCTCCCAAGCTTACCGGTCACACTGGGAATTCGCGGTGTTTGGAGCCTAGGACGTTCGACCGCCCGGTCATGGCTGCCGAGGGCGTCAACTTCGGCGACGGCCCCCTGCGCTGCACCTGGCTGGGCGGTGTGCTGTTCGGGGCTTGGTGGGGGCTTGACGCATCGAGCGCCTCCCCTCGTGCCTCGCAGCGATATCTCTTTCGGTGTCAGCAATACTCTCCTCGCAAATGGGGCACACAGACGGCAGCACGCAAAGCTTTCCGGATGCAGATTCCTCGCGAATTGCCGATCAGGCTTTCTCCAGATCGGCCGCTTCCGCCTGGTTGTGATGGGCTCTGATTTGGTCCTCTCTCACGGCACCGGCAGCACCAACCAGGCTCACCAGGGCTTTTGAGTGGCTGGGGCTACATTGATATGCGCCCAACAAATTTCTAACACGCGAATCTTTGCATCACCGTTGGTACAGCTTCCTGAACCCACCCCCAACAAGTTCTACAACCTCTGGCAGGTGTGGAAGTCCGATGGCACTGCGCAGCCCGCCTCAGGAAGCCCTCATGTGGTAGGCGCCCTGCAGCCTGCGCCGTGGACCTGCAAAGGTCTGCAGGAGCCAGTAGTCGTAAGGGTTTAGGGTTTAGGTGGTACATGGGTCACTATAAGGTTACTTACCTCAAAGTTACGATCAGGCTTTACGGTAGGGGGTCATGGTAAGATTACGATGAAGTTACTATACTGTAGGGACCCTAATTTTTTACCCTGAGGGGTACCCTAAAGGGTACCCTAAAGGGGATACGGGAGTGGGAAGTCCCGGCTCCTGGCCTTGAGCCCGCAAAGGTTTGCAAGATGCGGGGAGGCAGAGGAGGTTTAGGGCTTAGGGTTTAGGGTTTAGGGTTTGGGGTTTTGGGAAGATCCGCCGGAAAGATTCCCAAGCTTATTCAATCACCTCCCTTTGAATGCAGTTCCTTTTAATCAAACCCTTGTAGTACCTCAGTTACTAGTACCCGTAGACCCCTAAAGTACTCTGTAAAGGAACTCTAATTTTCTGGTACCCCCCAAACCAAAAAAGCCCTAAACCCCTAAACTCCTAACCCCTAAACCCCTAAACCCCTAAATCCCTAAACCCCTAAACCCTTATCGTAAATGACTGGCTATGACTTGGAGCAAGTCACTGCCAGAGCCGAGTCTTCGCAGCTCTGTGTTCGGTGGGCTTTTGCAGCTTTTGAGTGCGAGGGCCTTCATTGCAGTAGGGGGGGTTTTGGGGTTTAGGGTTTAGGGCTTGGGGTTATGGGGTTTCCGGTATATGGGGGTTTAGGGTTTAGGGTTTCGGGTTCGGGGTTGAGGCTTTGGGGGTTGGGGTTTGGGGGTTTAGGGAGGGCGTGGGGCTTGGGGTTCGGTTGCAGGCCTGGGGTTCGGGGTTTAGAAAGTCCCAAAGCCTAGCACTTATCAGGAGCTCGCCTTCGGCGCCTGTGGTGCCTTCGGCGCCTTCGGCGACCGCTTCGTGGAGTACACCGGGCAGCATTTCAGAGGATCGGGTGCTGCTTCGCGCTGTTGTTCGGGCTTTCAGACTCCGGCATGTACATTGTTTAGGGTTTAGGGTTTAGGGTTTAGAGGTGCGAATCCAAGGTTTAGTCCTCCGCGCTCGAAGCCCTAGAGCGCCAAGCATCCCTGAATCCTGCATGCAGCTCCTCAACCCCAGCCACCAGAAAAGGGAAACCCAAAAGGCCCTTTAAAGCCCTCAAGCTCGAACTCCAGGCTCGGGAATTGGCGCTTGGCGGCCATTGATGCGACGCACTTGAGCATCTCTCACAAGGGCGGACAAACGCCACAGAAGCCGGGAAGCAGATTGAGAGATATTGAAAGGACTTCGAGGTTCAGGCAATGGGCGGAAGAGAGTAGCGACATCGAAGCCGTCAAGCGCCTGCCACACGCTTCCTTCTGTCTCGGCGTCCTCCAAACCTCGACGGCCCCAAGCCTGTCTACCTTCAGAGCTTATTGGGCCTTTTCCTGGGACCAAGCTGCAGAGTGTCTCTTGCTCTCGGGCCGCTGAGGGCCTTTCTTTGGCTCCAGGCTCCAGCATCTCTGTCACTCACTGGCTTAGTAGGGAATGAGGGAATGGGTTATTGGGACTACCTTAAGGGACTATCATAGGGATCCATTCCCCCATTCGATACTAAGAACCAGAGAGATCTTTGCGGGAGGTTTCCGAAGCTTCGAAGCCCGAGGATCTATCGCGCCGACGGCGTGATGATCCCGGGGCGGCACGACTACAGCGCCTGGCATCGACCGCGGCTTGCCGGGGATGTGGGGAAGGATGGCCAGTTGAATGTACTTGAGGGGTCCGAGTAATTCGTAATACTGTTCCTTCGGGCTCCTTATTATGGCAATACTGAGTATTCGACGATTCGATGGCAACCCAAAGCCCAAATTCGAAGTTCAATCCCCTAAATTGCCCCGTAAATAGCCATAACCGGCGGCTCAGGAAAGGCTTCCCCTCCGGCATCGTCTTCGGCAGCCGCTTCATTCAGAACCTCGGGCTTGGGAAGGCCAACTAAGCCCTGCTACACCCACACACCTTACACCTGAAAGCCCTACACCCTCCTCCCCCCAAAGCTCAGGAACCCAAAACTCTAAGTCCTAAATAAACCCATCCAAACCCTATACACCCTATAAACCCTAAACTCCTCAAGCCCTAAATCTAAACCCTGCGTTTTTTGGCGAAGACCGGCGCCCAAGGATTGGAAACTTCCGGCTCGGGGACGCGGACGGACACCACTTTACCATCTCCCACGAGCTCTTCGGGCCTGAAGATAAAAGAAGCCCTGTAAGGTCATTACCAAAATCATTGGTGTTTACAGTTTAGGGTTTAGGGTTTATGCTTTGGTAATGTCACCAAACACGAAATTCCTTGATAGAAGCCTAAAAACATATACCAAAACAACTAGAGTTTAAAGTTTAGGGTTTAGGAATTGGAATTATATATGAAGCTTAGAAGAAGTTTCGAATACCTTTCCGTAGGGTTCCGACTACAGCCGTAGTAGAATCTACTCCAAAACCTTCTTCCAAGTATTAAGACCCCTGCCGTATTGTGATTGGAGGGTTCGAGGTTCAGGCCAAAGTGGCGGGGTTTTTCCGGAACTTGTGGGGATCTTTTGAGGATTGTCCCCTGAACCCTGATCCCTTAAACCCTGAGCCCTCAACCCTAAAGCCTAAGTATCAAGGAGCTTGTGGATCTTGCAAGCCAACCCGGGAGCCCCCCCCAAAAACGGATCCTCTCCCAGCTCTTCGAAAAAAGGTGATGTTGGGCGAAAGAAAGAAAGCGTAGGGTTTCGGATCTAGGGCTTGAGGGGTTTCAGAGGTTCAGGGCCAAGAGGTGTAGGGTTTAGGGTTATAGGGTTTAGGGTTATAGGGTTATAGGGTTAGGGTGTAGGGTTTAGGGTTTAGGGTTTTCGGGCTTTAGTAGTTTACGGTTGTCACGAAGGTTCGCGAAGGCTTAGCACCTTGAGCAAAGTAGCCGAAGCCGAAACCACGCCAGGAATGGAATCACCATCCAAATCTTCCGCAGCGACGGCACCCAGGATTCAATTGCTTTTCCTGTCCCTCCGGACCCTGAGCCCGGTTCTCTGAACCGATTTTGGGGTTTAGGGGTTAGGGCTTTAGTGTGTTGGGGTTCAGGGTCTAGGGGATGTTGTAAAGCTCAAGCCTTATACTTAGAATCATAACCTTGAGGGTCCAAGTACCCATTATTTAAGGACATTGGGGCCTTTTTGGGTACCTAAAACCATAAGAAAGGATCACTTGGACCCTTAGGGTCAAGCCTTATACCCTCAACCTTAAACCCTAAACCCTAAACCCAAAACCCTGAAGCCCCTAAACCTTATAATCGTAAGGAATTCCGGAGGCACGCTGCACCCTGGCCCGCGGCACGAGCTGAATCTCTGGTCGCGCACGGCGGGTGCGCATCAGGCATCCGCCGCCTTTGGTTCTGCCTTGCCTGACTGTTAATATATGGGCCTTAGCAATGGGCCTAAATAATTCCAATGGGGTTTGGGGGTATGTTTTGCGAAAATTTTAGGAAGGAGCCCTCTTGGTAGTCATTTAGGCCCCTACATT